CCACTTCAGTTGTTCTGTGATAATCAAGTGGCTATTCATATAGCTTCTAATTCTGTGTTTCATAAACGAACGAAACACATTAAGGTTGATTACCACTTCGTTTGAGAAAAAGTGTTGTGTGAAGACATTATCGCAACATTTGTCAAGTCTAAAGATCAACTTGTAGATATGTTGACTAAGTTCTTGAGTAGTACTCGATTGAGAGATACTTGTTCCAAGCTACGATTATATTATATATATTTGTCAGCTAAAGTAGGTACGCTATGATTATATATATATATATAAAATAAAGTATAACAAATTTGAATTTTGGAGACAAAAAGCGGCGCAGATCGTTTCGTAACTAGAAAAGTCATCATCCAACGGACTGCGTTATCTCAAACTGTCTCAAGCTATTGACGTCTTAGATCGTTTTAATCCGACGTACCACATTAACTCTTTTGAAATATTTTTGTTGCTCAAAATTTATAGTTTCCAAAATTGATATTCTAAAATTTAATTTATTCAAATCTTTTCCTTAAATTAAGCAAATCTCTCACTCTCATTACTCTAGATCTTTCTTTCACGCTCAATTCACATAAAAAGTATCAATTTTTCACAATATTTTTTTTGTATCTCACAAAAATATTAGTGTCTGATTCAAGCAAATACTATATCTCTCTAGATAGATAATATATATCACAGAGAGATAATATATTACGAAAATATTCTTTTGTATCTCTCTCTGAAGAAAAACTATGAAATAAATATTAGATAGATAGTACATATCACAAAAATATTCCTCTGTATCTCTCTCTTTCATTCAAGCAATACTACAAACAAGAATCATACAAATTCAATAGTCAATTTATTTTTTGCCATAATCAATAAAAAAAACATAATTTACAAAAAATCTAATTTAAAAAAGAAAATATACTTAATATGTAATATACAAGATTAAATTCAAGTTATTGGGCAACTCACGTAACAAGAGATATATTAAAAAAAATATGCTTAACATTTAAAATATACAAGATTAAATTCATATACAAACACGAATCATAAAAATTCAATATTTAGTGAGCAACACAAAGTAATAATATTTACTAAATAATCTAAATCTAAATATTCGAGAAAAATGATACAAAATTACAAGTAGAGAAATGATACAAAAGTATAAGAAATACTATGAAACACGAATCATACATATTCAATATTTAGTGAACAACACGAAACAACAATCTTTACTAAATAATCTAATACTAAAAAACGTTTAGTTTAAGAAAATATATTAAGAATATAAATAACCGAGAAGAATGATATAAAATAAAAGCACTACTATAAACTCAAATCATACAAATTCAATAGTCAATTTTATTTTTTCCATAATCAATAAAAAAAAGCATAACTTGAAAAAAATCTAATTTAACAAAGAATATATGATCAACTTGTAAAATATATGAGATTAAATTCAAGTTATTTGACAACTCAGATATCAAGAAATATATTAAAGAAAATATACTTAACATTTAAAATATATAAGATTAAATTCATATGCAAACACGAATCATACAAATTCAATAATTAATGAACAACACAAAGTAACAATATTTACTAAAAATCCAAATCTAAATATCTGAGAAAAATGATACAAAATTACAAGCGAGAGAAACGATACAAAATTATAAGCAATGTTATGAACACGAATCATACAAATTTAATATTTAGTGAACAACACAAAACAACAATCTTTACTAAATAATCTAATACTAAATAACGTTTAGTTTAAGAAAATATACTAAGAATATAAATAACCAAGAAGAATGACATAAAATTAAAAACACTACTATAAACTCGAATCAGGTCGTATCTTTTGAAAGTCGGTTGAATTGTTTATAGTTATATTTGGTCATTTGACAACATCTGCAGACTTAGTTTATTTGTGGGAGTATTGTTTTAATTTTCATTCTATTAGTTACGAATTCTGTTATTATTTAGATAAAGTTGATTATAAATGTTAAAATTGTGGATTTTGAATCAAAAACAAAACATTGAATATTATCAACTGATATACTTTTTCAGATGTTTGAATTATCATGTTTCAATAGTTATAACATAATTTTCATGGTGTAACAATTAACATAATTTTGTATGTAGGTTGATGTTATAAAAAATATTAGCGGACTCATTTTGTTCGTCATTTACTACAATGTTGTATTTTATTTTACATTTATGTATGAGTAAATATTTGTAACTAATTTATGAATAACACCGTGCCTTCAGGCACGGGCAATTGCTAGTATATATATATATACACACACACATAGATATATATATATATATGTGTATATATAAGAATGAAACTCTTGTAATAAGTATACCTCAAGAAGATGTTGTTTGTATTAAAGTATAAACAGCATCTTCTTGAGTAATTATATTTCCATCTTTAGCAGTTATAATTTTTACTGCATTTAGAATTTCATCTCTTTGAGTTAAACTTAAATAGTTATCCCACCAGCATCTTAATTGGCCAATAAATCATGCTGTTATAAATTTAGTAGTAGTATGGTCTAAATTATGATTGGTCTTACATCATACATTAAAATTTTATGTAAAACTTGATAAATTAAATATTCTGACATACCGTCAATATAATTGAAAATTTTCAGCATAAATGAAAAACATTAATGGTAAAAATAACATATGAAGTCATACAGCTAGCTTCAAATTCAAATGAGTTAGGTGAAATAATAATGAATGTTTGTTATTCTCTAAAAGATAATCATGACAGAGGGAGAAATATCTCTATCAAACAAAATAATTACACCAGTGTTTGTCTACAAGTGATGGGAAAACAATTGAGTAGAATTGAAAATTTAATAAAAGAACAAAAACAAGAAGCTTTGTCTTCTCAATATTTAAAGGAAAAACTGGTTGAAATTGAAAAGGTAAGAGAGGATATGTACAAGCTTTACTTACAGAGTGATAGTAGACTACCCAAGTGTTGTCCTACCACTTGTAGACAAATATTGGGGTAGTTATTTTGTTTGACAAAGATATTTCTCCCTATGTCATTACTATCTTTTAGAGAATAACAAGCATTCATTATTATTTCACCTAACTCATTTGAACTTGAAGCTTGCTTTACGGCTTCATTTGTTTGTGGATAAAAACTATTGATATTTTTACCATCAAATGTTTTCCATTTATGTTGAAATTTTTCAATTACATTTAATTGATCCATGGTAGGTGGAGCATAGTAGGTTAAAAACCATTTAACAAAAGGAATTACCCTTTTTTCCCTTTCTATATAAAGATAAAACATTTCTTTATATCTTTTAAGATCTTCTTGGTTCGTAGTCTAAAAATACCAAGTTTTAAATTTTTCATACTTAGAAAGATAAAATTCTTCATTAATTTATTTTTTATTTACTATAAATTCTTTTGTGTTTAAATCCATAAAATTTATAATTAAAATCCGATTTTGGAGGGGTTGGATCTCGATCTTCCTCTAAGGAAGATTCATTATCTTGCCTATAAATTTCATGAGGAATTTGATTATGGGAGTTTCTAATTCCCTCAAGTATAGGTTCTTTTCCCCTTTCTTCGATCTGGTATAGAAGAAGTGGATCTCCTACTGCAGTATTATATATTGACGAAGTGCTTGATAGGTCAGAGATTTTTAATCCTAAAATATTATTTCTAGCAAATCTTATCATTACATCAACCTGGGGTAATTGGGCGATAAGACTTTGTATGAGGAATTTTTATCAAAAGTTCTGAAGGCATCAGTTTCAACAATCTTAGAGGAATTTTTATATTATTCCAAAGTTGAAGATGAGTTCATAAATGAACTTAAAAAGAGCTTAAAAAATTTGTCATTAAATGTAATTTCACAGACATAAAGTGTAGAGCAATCTGAAACTAAAATACAACAATTTAGAGATTCTTTACACAACATGCAGTCTGAAGAGATAAAGAAAATTGAGTATTCTAAAACTACAAGGCAAATTAACACGTATTCTCAAGCACCCCCTATAAGGGCTTATTATCAACGATCAACCTCTCAAGATATTTTGTATGAGGAAAACTTTTTTATTGATAGGGAGAAACATCTCTATCAAACAAAATAACTACACCAATGTTTGTCTACAAGTGGTAGGACAACACTTGAGTAGAATTGAGAATTTAATAAAAGAACAAAAACAAGAAGCTTTGTCTTCTCAATCTTTAAAGGAAAACCAAATTTAAATTGAAAAGGTAAATATTAAGCCCCCAGTCGATACCTTAACATTTAATCTTCATAATAAAATTGAAGATGAGTTGAACTTAATAAGAAATTAAAAAATTTGTCATTAAATATAATTTCACAGACAGAAAGTAAAATCTTTGGAACTTAACAGAATCCGTCTCAATATATATATATATATATGTATATGTAAGAATGAAACTCTTGTAATAAGTATACCTCGTAAGGGATATACATGTATATGGAGTGGGGAAACATGATATGCACTCCCTCTGCCACCTCTATTCTCTCCAAAACCCTAGCCACTACATTCACAATTGTCAAGAAAATATGCTACCATTTGGGGGAACTTTTTTTCAACAAGAAAAACAATGAGTGGTTTTAAGATAGAAAAATTGATATTGCGTTATTGCATATTTGTTAAAGGTATCAATTAAGGATCCACCACTAACACACGCACAAGCGCAGAGAAACCGGATGAATTGTACCCATTATATCAAACACAACTATTGATCCACAAGTCTAATTCTACTTACTAAGCAAATTGATGTTACTTACATATTTTTGTTTACATCCTTTTAACTTATATGCTTCTAATTACAATCCGTTTATTATGATTTTGGAATCAATTAATTTTGTCCCTTAGTAAATTGTATAACATCACCATAATCTACTTGAAATTCTTTGAACCACTAGAAACTTGCCCAATGCATGTGCCTAAACTACGAATAGAATCAATCTGTGCCAGACCTCTTAAATATCTTCCACTAACCTATCTAAATGCTCCTCAAGCTTAAATATCTTTCCATTGTAAATTCGAAGTCCCTCCCAAACTGAATCTCCACCTTGGACAACCGAGTCAAACACTGAAACCTTAAAAAGGTAAAAGAGTAACATGAGAACACAAAAATTTAGAACATATCAAAATAAAAAATTAATACTTCAATTCTTGTTCAATATTATTCAAAACATACACTCTTCAAAGTTGCTTAAAAGGTACCTTAGCACTCTCACGGGGTACAATCTCGTCACCAACCCAAGCAAGCAGCTTCTCGTTTGCCGGAACAGGAAGACTAGGACGAGGGAGAGGGGACTTCAAAATACACGAAGTCTTTCTCGCATAGCGCCTAAGCATGTTGTAGAATGGTAAACTTTGCTCCAGCAAGTCATACTGGGAAGAGGGAAAAGCCTAGAAAAGCAAAATAAGAAAAGGAGTAAAGCATAAGCCAAATCTAGTAATGCAATTCTGATGTATCTGAAAACTTCTATTAAACTTGCAAAGAAGAAATAGAAAGAGACAAAAGAAATCCATATGCAACTCTCTAATATTTCAAAATAGTAAAAACCAGGTACAAGACACTATATATAAAACCTTACTACAAGAGAAAGACTAGAATACCCCTAATAATAAATAATAAATAATAATAGAAATACAATCTTAACACCCCCTCCCCTCTCCAACTTATGATGTGACAATAGAAAGCATCGAAAGTTCGTCAAGAAGAAAACAAAAACATAACATAGCGTACGACTTCGTGAAAAAGCGGATCAATTACATAGTACTGTAGCAGAAGAGCAAAAGGTAAGGAAATAGTCCCATGTTGAAGATGGTGGCGCACAAAATGATAATCAATATCGATATACTTGGTCTGCACATCGAAAACAAAATTATGTGCAATCTGAATAGCACTCTTATTGCCATAATACATAGAAGTAAGAGCAAAAAAAGAAACACCAAGATTGACAAGTAATCATCTCAACCCTACTATCTGTAACATAGTAGTAGGCATGCCATGATATTAATCCTCAACAGTAGAATGAGCGATAACAGTCTGTTTCTTACTTCTCCAAGATATTAGGGAATCACTTAAAAAGACACATAAACCAGTTATGGTGTTAAAGTTGTTATTTATACTATTAGTAGTGTAGGGTAATATTGTAATTTCTCTAATGTACATTTATTATAAATAAGAGAGTGTAAGGCAACATAGACTACACACTAATTATTCTTTTCTTTTTCTTTGTCTCTTCTCTCTTAACCTTAATATCACTTTTTTATTCTAACTTGGTATCAGAGCAATACTCTGAGACAAAATATCATTGGAAGAACACTGTGAAAAACATCAAAGAATCTTTGCTATTGACATCAGCAACAGCCAGCCGCCAGAAGTTGCTGGATGGGTCGACTCTTCAAGGGGATTCTTTTAGTATTTTTGCCAAATTTTTTTAAGTCATCCAAGTAGGGTTTCCTATTTTTGAATATTTTTGGGATAAAAGGCCTAGGTTTTAAGATTTGTAAATTTTGCCCCTTTCTTTGGTTTGGTTGGTCGTGTCTGGCACTTAGGGTTCCAATTTGGCCTTGGGGAGAAAGGTTGTCGACTTCCTATATATTGGCCAGAACAGAGGCAAAATTGTTCCTTGACTGTGATTTGTTATGGTTTTATGCCACTATGTTGGTTTAGAGGCTGCTTGTGATGTCTGATCCCCTAGTGTGAGTCTGTGGCTGCTCCGAGAGGATGGGTTGTGGCGAAAGACGATGAACAGTGATCGTCTAACTTGAATTTTTTTTTTTTCAATTGATTTTCTGGTGCCTAGGCACTTCGGCAGTGTGGTGTTCTGGTTGTTTGTCACAATTCTGCCTCAATTTGGCCCCTTAAATTTGTGTTGATTGGATTTGAGGGGTTGTGTTGAGTTATAATTCATCTATGGATTTCTCAATGGTGTTTTTGAATAGTGGTTGTTATTCGCCCTATAATGTTAGTCGTGGAGGTCTATCCACTGGAAATAGTGCATGTGATGGTTCAGTTGCTTCTAGTTTTGGCTTTCATGATGAACTTTCTTCTTAGCTTACACAAGTTGTCTTCATTCTCTTCAAATTTGACTGCTTCTATTACCACTGCTGCTAATGGAGGTACCACAACTTGCCTGATTCAGCCTTCTTCGTCTTCTTGGATCATTGATTCAAGAGTTAGTTCTTATGTCTTATATGTCGTCCTTATTCTCTAATTTGTGTGCGTCAAACTTATGTATTGTGTTAGCTGATGGTGCTATTTAACCGGTACATAGGACTAGCGATCTCAGTCCTACTTAGTCCTTGTCATTAACTGATGGTTTGTTCGTTCCTAATTTTTCTTTTAATTTGTTATTTGTGATTCAGTTAACCAACTCCTTACAATGTTTAGTAACCTTCTCTCCATCTTCTTGTATTTTTCAAGATCTCAAGACAAAAAAGGTGATTTATATGGGATATGAGTGCAATGGCCTTTATTACTTAGAGAAAGTTCCCTTTCTACCTTAAGTGCTACTGCGTCTCCTCTCCAGTGGCATTTTCACATAGGTCATCCTTCATTGCAAAAATTGAGTCAAGTCGTCCCTGGTTTGAGTTCCTCCTCAGTGTTAGACTGCGAAGCTTGTCAACTAGTTAAGCATCACCGTAGTTCCTTTCCTCCTAGCTCTTCAATCCGTCAATCTAGTCCTTGTCATGTTGTTCATGTAGACATTTGGGGTCCAGTAAGAGTTGACAATCCTTTGGGTTTTCAATATTTTGTGATATTTGTTGATGATTTTTCTCGTATGACTTGGTTATTTCTTGTGAAAGACCAATTTGAGTTACCTAAGATCTTTGCCACATTTTATAATGAAATTCTAACTCAATTTAATGTTCGTATTAAAATACTTCAATCTGACAATGCCCTTGAGTATACACAATCATTTATGAAAACCTTTTGTATTGGCCGTGACATTATCCATCAAACTACCTATCCTCATACCTCCTAACAAAACGATGTTGCCAAACATAAGCATCGCCATTTGTTGGATGTTGTCCGCACCTTAAAATTTAACATGCATATAATAAAATCATATTGGGCTGATGTTGTTCTTTCTTTAGTTTGTCTTATTAATCGTATACCTTCTTCCACTTTGGACAACAAATCTTCCTATTCGTTGCTTTATCCTGATAAACTGTCATTTGATCTCACTCCTCGTGTCTTTGGTTGTGTTGCATTTATTCATCTCCTTGATTTGGGTAGGGATAAACTTTTGCCTCACTCAGTTAAGTGTGTTTTTTTTTATATTCTCATACTCAGAAAGGTTATCGTTACTATAACCTTATTTCTCGTCGATACTATGTCAGTGTTGATGTTAACTTTTTTGAGTTATCCTCCTTTTCTGTATCAAGTAATACACTTTCTTCAGATTTAGTTTTTCCCAGTCAGGGGAGCCTTTGTTACCTATTGTGCTAGATTGTGAATCTTCTTCCTTCCTAACTCTTCTTCCTCCCTTACAAGTTTGTCATCATTCCAAGCACAGACAAGCTGTACTATATGCTCAAGCTCCACAGTCATCACCTTATTCTATTGACGTCTTGCCTCCCGAGTCGTTGGCCAGTTTATCATCTCCTGATTTGCCTATTGCATTGAGGAAAGGTACCCGTAATTGTACAAAACATATTTCTAATTTTGTTTCTATGCATCGCCTTTCACAATCCTTTCGTTAGTTTGTATCGACTCTATCTACAGTATTTGTTCCTAATTCTTTGAAACAGGCATTGGCATCTCTTGGCTGAAAATTGGCTATGAATGAAGAAATAAAATCCCTTAATGAGAACCAAACATGGGACCTTACTTCTTTTCCCTCTAGTAAACCGTCTATCAATTGTTAGTGGGTATACATAGTGAAGTATCATCCCAATGATTCAGTTAAGCATTTGAAGGCCCGTCTGGTTGCCAAAGGCTACACCCAAACATATGGTGTGGATTAATATGAAACTTTCTCTCCTGTTACTTGACTCAACTCTGTTAGAGTTCTTATTTTAGTTGCAGTGAGTTATGATTGGCCTCTGTATCAACTGGACATCAAGAATGTTTTTTTACATAGTCCAACCTCCAGTTGTAGGAGGAGGTATATATGGTACAACCTCTAGGCTATGTTGTATTTGTTAAAGAACACGTAGTATGTCGTCTGAAGAAAGCTCTATATGGTCTAAGCAATCACCACGTGCTAGATTTGATAAGTTCAATACTGTTGTACTTCAGTATAATTTTCGATGTTCTACTTCAAATCATTACGTTTTTATTCGTCATTCTTCCACAGATGTTATTATTCTTATTGTGTATGTTGATGACATTATCATAGTATTGCTCATTTTAAGATTCATTTGGAGAAGTAATTTCATACCAAAGACCTAGGTCTTCTTCAGTATTTTCTTGGGATTGAAATTGCTCGGTCAAAGGAAGGTATTAGTTTATATGTCAACCGAAGTATATATTAGATTTATGTCTGAAACTGGTACTCTTAGTGCACGTCCAACTGATACCCCCATGGATTCCACAGTTAAGTTGGATGCTGATAGTGATGAAGTTTCTAATGATATAGGTCATTATCGAAGGTTGTTTAGTAAACTGATTTACCTTACAATTATACGTCCTGACATTACCTACGTTGTTGGAGTGGCTAGTCAGTTCATGCATACCCCTCGTAAACCTCATTGGAAGGCTATTTGTCATATTCTTCGATATCTGAAAAAAGCGACCGGTAAAAGATTATTATATCATCCTTCATCCTTCATCCTCCATGATTGTTACAGGTTTTTTTTATGCTAACCGGGCAGGTTGTCACACTGATAGACGATCTACTTTAGGTTATTGTACATATATTGATGGTAATCTTGTTACTTGGCGAAGCCAAAAATAGAATGTGGTTGCACGTTCGAGTGTAGAGGCTAAATACCAGGCCATGGCTCATATTGCATATGAGATGTTGTGGATTCGTTCATTACTTTGTGATATAGATATTAATGTGCCCTCTCCTATGGAAATGCATTGTGACAATCAAGCAACTATTTTAATTGTCAGCAGTCTGGTATTCCATGAGAGGACCAAGGATTAAAATTTCGTTTCGAAACATTTCTATTTTTTAGGAGACCAAAACGAATCAATGATGGAATCAAAATTCTAATACTTCAAGGTGTTTCATAATATTTCGAAGTGTTTTGTAATATTCCAATGTATTTACGCAATTATTTTAGAATGTTTCAAGATATTTTAAGATAATTTTATATAATTTGACCAATATTTTTGAAAAAATAATTCTTTATTTTTTTTATTTTTTTTTTATGTTTCTAAAAAGGGTCAA